GAACGACCCTTTGTGCGTTTTAACGATCGTATTTTCAACGGCAACGTACAAATATTTCATGGTCCATTCCGAATCCACGCAGTCCGCGAAATGGAAACCAATTATTTCTATTTAATAAAAATCAGCAAATACTTTAGCTTCTTAGAACTTTAGATTATTTAAACTCTGTTATATAATCTCAATAGTGTTAACATTCAATTAACAAACAAACAGTTTGGGTTGAACGATTGAACAACTTCATTTCCCTCAAAAGAATATAGAATATTGTATATTTCTTTTAAAGTCCTGTTGTTTCGTAGTTGAAATGCATGCTAAATGAAAGGAGACGTAATGGTAATGAACATGAAGTGAACAGTGAAATATTTTGATTTCGAGAATTGTGGACGGAAAACGAACAGCAGCGCGTTTTATGGACATTATGTAAAAGCACTCGGACGTTGTGTTTACAAAACAATTTTAATGAACATATTTTTAATGACAGGCCGTACCGTACAATGTGTAATTATAACTGCACCTGGATCTTTATATCTCGAGTGCATATCAAACATGCATTTACCATTTGCAACAATCGCATATTGTTCCTTGCAGAATTATCAAACAAAACAAAAAAAACTACATGATATTGTGCTATGTAATCGTATGAGTTTATATTGTTGTATAATATAATATCATTGTTTGTTATTACTTCACAAGTAATAAGTAAAAATTAAGTTGTTGTCCAATCACAGTTAAGTTAAAAGTCTCGTTCAAGTTGTGTACAATTAAAATTCAATCAATCGCGTTTCCAGCCAACTTGTCAGCTCTTCTCGATACGTCGGGAATACGCTAGGAAGAACTGTGGAAGCCCGCCGGCTCGGGGTGACCTTCCGACCTTAAGTTAATCTCCTCCATCATCTTAGCAAATCGCAAACTCGGGCTTCGTTCTCCCAGTTCCCAGACTATCATCAAAAGCGCGCCTACTATCATCATCATCGCAATCAGAAGCTTCACTTAATTCAATTTTTTAATTGCACCCTTTTTACACATAATAATCCGTGGTTTCGTCGTTCGTTGACAATCGGAAAGTGGCGCAAGTCAGTTCGAGTTTTATTGACGGCGAAATCTGATGGTAATAAATTACGCTCTGGAAATAAATGAGACATAAATCAAAGGGGGGGCACGTTTTGATTGTTTGTTCTTGGCTGTTGTTGGACCATTGTATGTACATCAAGAACGTCCGAGCTGATCGCAACGAAAAACAAGAGTCCGAGGTCGTCGTCGCCGCCACCGCCGCCACTATTCCAGTTCGCTTCGTTTAAATTCCACCGTGCAAGAAGAAACGTGTACTAAAGATGCTGTCTAATAGACATAAGATAGAAAGTTTCCCTTAATCAAAAAGTACCAAGAACAATGTAGAAATGATGTATTTTTGAACATTGAAACTATATAAACTATTATACAGGGTTGATCCAATTTTACTGCAACTTTTCAGAACGCTGTATTTGTTTGTTTACGACTTTCTCAGTTGGGAAATTTTTCTCATCAGAAAAGACGATTTTTGGTAAGTTTTCTTTTGAACATCGGTGAGATCTTGTTCTTTTTAGAACTTGTACTTCACTTTGAGTTCGATTTTGAGTATTTGTTGCATGATTTTACACTGCGTCGCGAATTTCATTCAATTTGAGCCTTAAGTTTTCGAACTACTTCTACCAGAGATGTAGTTCTTGTCCGACCACCAAAATAGCATTTTGTAACACTACTAGCATTGTTATAACGTGTTATGGTTCAAGACATAAAAGATTTATTCACATTAAAGTGTTCGAGGGCTTTAACTATAGCCACTTTTGGTTTTCCGCTCAAATATTGGGCTATCACACTATTACGTTTGAATTCCATCGCTGATAACTTTTTTTCCAAAACACTGAGATACAAATGCTTCTGCAGACTTGTAAACAATAAAATCAGCTATCATTAGGCGAAATATGGACGCAGCATTGCCAACGGTTCAAAAGTTACAGCAGTTTTAAGTTGGTTGCAGTTCAACTGGGCCAACCTGTAATATCTTCAGATTTTCGTAACCAAAAACCAACAAATTGCAATAACTGATCATATTATTGAAAACACTATAAAATAAACTGTTTCTTTAAACTTTAAATTGGCACTTAGCAAATTGCTAAAAGAAGTTGTTGGGTTTAGAATTACATTGATCCTATTGAAAATAAATAAATATTTTTTTTGTAAAAAAAACAATCTTTTTCTAAGCGAAAACCATTTAAACAAAACCCATTAGCTCGAACGACTTTGCTGGATGGATTTACTGCCATTCCTGCAATATCTGCCATTAGTTGCCTTATACAACCAGCGCGATATTTCTTCAGCGCGCATCCAATAAAATCTATTGCAACCAAAAACAGTGCCACATCGACGGAATTTCGAGCGATCTCTTCTATCTATATTTGCTCTCTCTACATCTCTACATCCGTGCGCATTCCTCTCCTCTTCAGCTCAACATATCGTAGAGGAAATATGGAGCGGAATGCGGAATTCGAAGCGTCGCAAGGCCTATGTAAAACTGCTTGTAAGCAACGATTTTCTTCTTTGTTTATATTTTTTTTTGTTTCCTCAAGACGAACGTCAATTGAATATAATTGGTGATTTGTCTGTTTGCTGGACGTGCTTTATTTGCGGCTCCTCCGGTGTCACGACTCTCCTCTCTTCTCCAACTACTTATTCCCATTTGCAGACGCAAAAGAGAAACTTTCTCCCCGCATCCAAAAACCACAATATCACGACGATCGCATAAATCTCTATGATATAATTAACGCAGTGTGAAAATTACTCTTTTTGCTTTGTTTCGTTTCCTCACCAATTCTAAATTGGATCGCGGCGCTTCCTTTCATTAATGAATTCATTACTTCAATTACGCATCATCAATTGCGAACGACTCTATTCGAATTAACGATCTTTGTCTAATGATAATTACGAGCATCACCATATGGTTATGCCCATTATTCAACATTTCTTTTTATTTTCTACTTAATTTACTTTTGCTTAGGTAATGAGTGGCAATTCGTGCGTTCTTCAACTTATTTACAAATACAAATTATCATCGTTTCGCTTAGATGTGATGTGCACTCGACGCAAGGGCTGTTGACTTCTGGACTTCTCCACTCGAGTGTGTATGTAAATACCGTGGAACCGAGACAAAACGTTGGAAAATTACAATTATTATCTTCATCCTACATTGTGCACTTCCCATTTTTGCGAAACCTCCCACGTCGTTACGCAACCGACGACATCCTCGCTGATTTCCCTTCATTTCTTCTTCGGCTCTCTCAGCAAATGTTTAAATAGTAATATAAATAAATCATGCGCGTTTGATGGTACAGTGCACATGCTGTTACATTATATTCTTTATTTGCATCTGATTGCGATCTCGCTCTGCGATCCAAATTTGTTCATGGAAAATGAGACAATTGTCTAGTGGATCGCCAATACCTACGGCCGTGCATACACGCAAACCAGTTGCAAAAAAACGGAGCGTGATTTGAATCTCGACTTCTCGTTACCAAAGCTTTCAAAACAAAAATATTGTTCTTCCTTTTGTGTCTCCGCATTGCATCTATCCACTTACATTCACTTTCCTTTTTAATTAAAACACATTATCATTTTCTAATCACACCTAATTATTTATGTTTACACAATCTTAAATCGCCATAGATTATTTATAATCAATTGTATTTGAAAGTACAATTAACTTCATCCCACAACTTCATCTTTTTACAACCTTTTGTATTTTGTAAACTATGGAATAAATATGTAAATATTACATATCTATAAATTTACTAAAGTGTGGAAATGAAGTGTGGAAACTTGTCTTTCAGTCATTGTTGGTTTTCGTGTGCATAATCTTCTTGAAACGTCCACTCTTTTTGACTGAAATGTTTAGTTGTCCACGGCTTCAGAGCATCTTCCAAAACTTTTTCATAGTGAACATTCGCATTAATCTTGAAATTAATGGTGAAAACACCAACGAAGAGCGACTATTGACCATCACAGCCTTCAAAACTATCACAAACGGTGGTACTTGACTTCTTGTGGCCATTCGAATATCTAAATCTTCGTTTGATCTCTCTTCTAAGTAAATTAGATCATTTTCTTTAT